GTCCGGATGCAAAATAGGAAGTTTTCCCGTAATGCAACACGGCCGTTCGTAATGCAACACGGTCCGTGTCAATTCTCTGAGAAAAACTGCACTTTAGACATGGGTTGAACACGGGCGAGTTTGAATCAACACGGCCGTGTCGAATGACAACACGGTCCGTGTCAATTCTCTGAGCAAAACTTCACTTTTTTTAGCACGGACACAACACGGCCGTGTCGAATGCAACACGGTCCGTGTCGATTCTTCAACTCGAACATGCTTGACAGATTTGCTCATAACTTTCTGCTCCAATGTTGGATTTGTGCGATCTTGATGTCTATGCGTAGATATTGAAGAGAAATGAGGTAGAGAACACACAATTTGGACTTATAGAGTGGAAGTTATTGGACTTGCAAGATTTGACTTTTTAGGCTTCGTGTTTTTCCCCGGAACAACTCCAAATGTTCCCATTTCGTCTGTGATGTTCCGTAGTCCATGTTTTCCACTCCTTTTGCTCTCTTTTATGCATGAATACCTGTTTTGACACCAAAGAAAGCAACCAAGCAATATGGAGACCAAATGTGCTCTAGAATGCCTATAAATATGCAAAACCGAGTAAAATGCACTAGACATCCTATACCAAAATGTCACCAAAATACATGTTATCATTAGCCTCTATAACGAAGATACCAGAATTTGAAGCTTCTGCAAGCTTCTTCTTCCTCTGATCTTCCAGGTAGAGTCTGCAATTTCTATACCAATGGCCAACAACATGACAGAAATAACACTCTTCCTTCTTGGGTTTGGACTTAGACTTAGTGACAACACTTGTCACTTTCCTCTTGCCCTTATCTTTGGAACGCTTCCTTTTGCTGGAACTCTTTCCAACAACCACCATATCATTCTTCCCTTGGCTCCCACCTTTCACTTGGAATGACACATTCAACTGATCAACCATCAATGAATTGTCCATGTCATCTAATTGCTCACGCAATTCCGAAGACATCTTTCCAAGCATCAAGCTAGACACGTCCAGATCATCATCCTCATGCTTCCAATAAGTATCAATGATCGAACCAAAAGCCGTGGTCAGAGGCTTATCCTTCATAAAGATAGATCGCATGGTGAGATTAACCAGATTCCTGCAACAGATATGTACTACAGAAAAAGACAAACGAACAGACAGAAAATATACAAGTCGCTTAGTACACATACTAACACAGACAATAGATGCAATATGACAGGCTCCCACTAAGAAAAAACACCCTCAATGAGTTTCTAAGTGAGTTAGGATCCATATTTCACATGCTTTTGAGTCAGCTAAGGCATGACGCTCAAAACCATGCTATTTAGGTAGACAACACATTGTCAATCACATCCTATGCGATTCCTAGATGAGTATGGGATAGTGATACGCTATCACTGCATGTTCCTCATCCCATCCTTACCATCAGGTTCAAGTCCGATTTGATAACCCAATTCAAGCTCAACCATATTTGAGCTATGAGAATCACGATTTCTCCATACTGCCTCACCAAGATAGTCAGGTACGCTCAGCTAGGGCATGACCCGTAACCATGACGATCGAGGCCTTGATAGCTGCTCTACTAATGGGCGGTAATAGCTTGAGATTAAACATGACGCTTCGTTTGACTTGAACACCAAGATACCTTGACTGAATTCAAGTCATTCCAGTCAAGTTATTCTGATCAACTAAGTTGAACTACTTTTAGTTCGATTGAGTCGTCTATGTGCAGAATCTCTTGGCCAAACAACAATTATTTGCCTTAGATTCGGTACCAGAACCCTCTCAAGATCCTAATTCAGATATTTGACTCGAGACAACGATTGCGCAATCAAAACTCTGAATTATGGATTGTCATCGAGCTTGGTCTTATGTGAGGCTTTGATTCCAATTCTGATAATTGATCTGACACAACGATTGTTCGATCAAAAACCTAAATTTTGGAATCTCGGATTGTCCGAGGTCCAGACCGGTCGTGACTGTGGATCGATCGGTCTAACCAGTTCAGACCGTTCTGAATTGTTTGGTCTTGGTCCGAGACCCAGACCGATCGGTCCAACCTTTGGACCGAACGGACTGCTAACTGATCTCGAAGTCCTAGACCGGTCGGTCCAACCTTGGATTGATCGGTCCATTCTCTCAGACCGAGTGCAGACCGACCCCGAAGACCGAACGTTCCACCAGACCCAGACCGATCGGTCCCAAGACCAGACCGGTCGGTCTGTCGAACGTGATCCGACATCCTCTTGTGGTCATCGGTCCAGACCGGTCGGTCCAACCCTTAGACCGGTCGGTCTGACCTAATTTGACCTAAAAGGAACAACCGTCGTCACGCGTAGACCGATCAGTCTACACTCTAGACTGATCGGTCCACGTGACGGACAGACTTCGGATCTCGGTTTCGGGTCTCGAAAACTAGGGTTTTCATCCCCGTTTCGACGCACCGTCAAGCCTTCCACGAACCCTCGCTCATCCATGCATCATTCAACAATTAATCAAAATCATCAAACATGCATAGATCTAATGTTTACATGCACTCTAACAATTAAAATCATGAAAACATGCAAAGATCTATTGTTTACAAGCGCTTTAACAATTAAAATCATGCAAACATACAAAGATCTATTGTTTACATGCACTTTAACAACTAAAATCATGCAAACAAGCAACAGGCACGACGATATACCGAGAACCAGGCTCTGATACCACTGTAGGGTTTCCACGGGTTCCTAGCATGCGATCTCATCGATTTAGGGTTGGTTTTTAGGTTTTATGCAGCGGAAGAAAAAGATCTAAACCTAGCAAAATGTCATACAAAACCAATTGTGCAATAACCCGAAAGAACGTGTATATCACCATGGGATTTGAATACTTACCTCGTTCTATCAAAATCTGAAAGTATCAATCAATCCAGGCCTGTTTTAATCACCAAGAGTTGAAAGTACAACTCCTCTACACGTATCCACACCGGAGGGATGAATTCCAACACTTTGGAACGTATCTGCTAGGATTTGTGAAAAGAAAACGACGTCCTAGACTTGGAATCGATATTCCAGGGTTTAGAACTCAAAAAAAACCTTCTCCAATGCTCTAGAATGTGTCTAGGACTTGTTAGGTTGATTACCTAGGGTTTGTGGCAGCTCCCCTGATCAATAGGATTGCCTAAACCCTAAAAACGCGAAAAAGGAAATTTTCCCGAAAGTCGGACCATCCGATCTAGGTCTGGACCGGACGGTCTGATCCCTATGCGGAACGGACGGTCCGTTTCTACGCAGAATGGACGGTCTGCACGCCTGGACCGTCCGGCCCAGGTCTGGACCGGACGGTCTGGCCCTTGCGGAATGATCGGTCTATTCCTCAACGGAATGGACGGACTGACACGGCTGGACCGTTCGGTCCAGGTCTGGACCGGACAGTCTGGCCGTCTGGAACCCTTCCAACTCGTTCCGTCATTCCTTCTCACGTCGTTCTCTTCACGTGTGATCCATCACCAATGGTGTGTGACCCTGTAGGCCCATTCGAAGTGGTAGTGGCTTCGGAAACCCTTTTCCGAACCACAAGTCATGGTTAGCCTCTAGCAAGACGCCATAACCACCCACCTAGAATATAGTTAGAGGTGATCTAACAAAACCAGCAATAGCTCGAGTTCTGATCCTTTGTCTCATGATGTCATATGTTGAA